GAGAAGTGGCTCCCGGATTGCTATCGCAAGCTGTGACAGAAGAGAAAGAAGCGCAGGGAAGTCCACTCCTGCTTGAACAGAAGAGGAGACAACACACCACCTCCGTGGGCACCCAGATCCCAAAGCGGGGTGTGTAGGGTTGGGGTCTGGGGGGTTAGAGGTGTGAAGGGGGAGGCACCAGAAGTGACCCCCGCTCCCAGGAGCAACCCCAGCTCCCTCATGGGAGGGGAGCAGATGGCTCTCCACACAGCTGAGTACAGGGGACAGAATCCCACAAGGAACCAAAGCTTACTTCTCAGCACCGTATTAAAGCCAAGCAGCCTCTCTCAGGAGCAAACTAGGTCCTTCGAGACTTCTGAAGTTATATGTTTTTAATTTCTAAATTCAAATTTGCCTAATATTTGTATAATGCCTCGATGATGAACTCCTGCAAATACATGACAGCTTTCCTCAAAAGATTAAGAAGAAAACCATGGCTAATTCAGCCCAGTGAGGAAATGAAGTCTGATTTATATTTTTAAAGAAATACAACTTTCTAGTAGCATAATAAAATTAATCATAGGGAGTGCTGATAATAAAAAGAATTAGGAGATAATTCAGAGAGGATGAAAAACTTTCAAGCTATTCTCCACCCCCTTCCCCGCTGACATCATTTCAGCTGAAAAAGCCCTGGATCTTTCTAATGGCTCTCCCTTGTTTCTGGTGTACTGACCTAAAACCTCTCTGGAGAAGTGTTACCTCACACAGGGCCGGTGGTAGCCCTGAAACAAGCTTATGAGTCAGGAGAAGCGAGGTGAGCAGGGAGCCTGGCAGACTGCCTTCTGCCTCTCATCCCATCCAGTGGAAACTGCATTCTCAAAGGTGCCTTGCTAATCGTCCAGCCAATGGTCAGATTTTTGAACTTTCTGTTGCATTTGACACCTTAAGCCAGATTCATGAGCAATCCTCCTCACTCTCAAAGGAATTCTACTGAAATAGGTCTCATGAACTGTAATTTTGAAAAACTTCCTTTGAACCCGTTCACAGACCATTCCCCTTCTGCTCGAAACGCCCCCACCTGGCTGACACGAGCATTCAAATCCTGTTCTCCAAGACCACAACTTTTCTTTTCCAAAGCCTTTCTGCTCGGGGGCAAGAAAAAACTTTCCCCTCTTCCCTAGGAACAGACCTTCCTCCACAGAACAGGAAGGGCGTGTGACCATGCTGGGCAACTAGAATCCTCCTACAGGGCTCTTCTCACTGATGGGGAAGATCTTTCCTCTCAAGCTGCAAAGCTGTAAGAAGCCCAGCTGCCTGAGATCACACTGCCTCTGCATGGTGAAAACCCGCGGACAGCAAGAGAAGCAGGAGAAACGAGGCCAACAGACACGAGACAGGTGGCGGAAACGAGAGCAGAAGGGGCCGGTTGCGCTGCACTGGAGTCCTGGGTGGAGCCTTCCTGCAGGTGGATCGGCCCTTTCCTGGCCTGGTGACACGAACCTTCTCTTTTGTGGCCCCAGCTAATGTGAATTGAGTTTGACAGCCAATAAGTTCCTCCCTAGCCCACTTCTTTATTGGCTTTCCAGCCTCCTCTCTGGACACAGCTGGGGGGTGAACTTCTGCAAAGCAGGGTTCAAGCCATCAAAGGCCTGTCTCCCAGCCTCCTCAGGGTTAGATACATCTTTCACAGAATTTAACTTTCCAGATCCTCCATGACTTCACCACCCAAGAGACAAACCAGGATGCGGCCATTTAAAATATCCTCCTCCCTGGCTCCGTGCCTATTCAAATAACTCAAGAAAGAGCAGTGACAGAAGGGAAAGTTCTACACCTTTTCCAAAGCCCATTTCATGGATGTCTCTCTAAGAAGACTTACTTAAGCAACTCCTTCCCCTAAAGATGTACTTGTGCCCTCTTCAGTCCTGATGGCATTTATCTGATGATCTTTGTCTGGGTCTAGCTTGAATTTTGTGTGTCTTGACTCAGAGCCCTCAAAATAACTGTAAGGCCACTAAGTTTGCCCACATCCAAACTCCACTAGTCGCACATTTACCAGGTCCACTTAAACCTTCTTCTTAAATAGTTCTTAATCAATCCCATTGTTCCTGCCGTTTCTCAGAACAATAACAGGTCTCTGTACCTCCAGCCTTATCCTACCACAATCTAGCTGCCCACTGACACCTGTTAGCTTTCCGATGTGAATCTGATCATGCTATGGTCCAGCCCAGATAGCCAAGACCTCACCTCTTAACAAGGCAGTTCAACCTGCGCCTCCCAGTGCCTGTGCTCTGCCTATCTCCCCAGGTCACGGCCCATCTCTCCCCAAGAAGCCCTGGGCAAGCCTGACTATTCATGGTTCTTTTAACACCCGAAGTAATTTAATGCTGCTGCCCTTTGAATATGGCCCCCTCTGTCTGGGAAGGCCTCCCCCGCTTCTGGCTGGTTAAGTTCAGTCCTTCAAGTATCCCCACTGAGAAATCCTGGACTGCCCTAGGTAATGGCACTTTTATAAGTGCTCCTGCCACCCCGTCTGCAGGGATGCTTCCTTTGCATCCCCAGTGTCTAGCGCCAGACCCAGCACAGCACGCAAGTGCTCAGTTAATTGTTTAACAGACACCAGAGCCTTGACTGGCCAAGAGCAGGTATTTATGTAGCATGTAGCTAGCAAAAAGTCCGGCTCTTGCTTGGTAAACTTCACTGCTATCCAGTGCTGTCACATTCTTTGCTCACTCTGGACAGTGACATTCCATAGACAATGCTCGCGACTGCTCAGCTGGATACACTGAGGCTTAGAGGAGGGCTCTGGGGCCAGACAGACCTAGATGGCAGCTCTGTCACTTATAAGCATGTGTGTCCTGGACAAGTCTCTAAACCCTCTGGACAGCAGCTTCCTTATCTGTAAAATACTTCATCGTGTGTGTGAAAACTAAATGAGAATACATTTAAGAATGGGTTTGAATGAGTGGCCCTCGGAATGAGAGGGGTTCTTTTTAGCTTCTTTTCCAGAGAACCCAACATGACTCCCTGATGGACTCAGTTTCTGATCTGGCTCCTGCTGTCCTCCACTTGCGCTCTCTCTCTTTGTCGCTGGTTAGCTAGCATGCAGCGACCAATCACCAAAAACCGATCCCACCCCACTCCGATTAGGCTCCAATAGGGCGCGGAAGGGGCCACCTTGGACAGCTCCCGTTGCGTCCCATTGGCTCCCCTGCAGTCCTGCTCGCCCCTTTGATGCGCCACCCCCGCGGTGCACTGTGGGGTTTGTAGTCTAATAAAGAGGCCTTGCACTCCGCCTGGAAGGGAAGGACCCTGGGCTAGGCTCCCCAGTGTTCAACCCAAAGCTTCTCGGTTGGGTAACCTGAGCACGAACTCCCTCTGCTAATGAATGCCGGAGGAAAGAAGAGTGACCCCGTTTTCTTTCTAGATGAAACCTGGTTGCCCTGCCTCCCTACAGCATGCTAAGGCTGCTGCTTTACCAGCAGACCCCAACAAACAGGGGCATGTATGTGCTCAGCTCATTACCATTCGCCACAGTGTTCAGTTTCAGACCAAAGGTATATCAATTCTCATATTTTCATCAACGAGCCTAAGAAGTCTTCTGTGTAAAGTGCGGAAAGCCAGTGGTGCCTCCACACTTCTCCCCAAAGAATCTGCTGCAAAACTAGCTATCACGAATTCTGTTAACCCGTGGAGCCATTCACATTTCAAACTGCAACACCCCTGAAGATCATAAAGAGCTACCAGTGGCTCCCCATGCCAGAGATATAAAGTTCAGACCACCCCAGCCAGCAGGCAAGGGCTTTATAAGTAGTGTTTGGTGACATTTTAAAAGCAGCTTTCTCAACATGGTCTACACGTGAGAATGGCCCAAAGAGCTTTTAAAAAACTGGTGTTTTTATCACTTTTTACCAGTATTATTCAGCATGCTGGAGACATGGTGCAGGCTTCCTGTACGTTTGTCAAGCTCCAGGTGACCCACCTGTTTATAAAGGGGATGGAGAAGCGCTGGCTTAAAGTCTAGCCACTGCTGCGGCTCTGAGGCTTTGCACCACAGTTTCCTCTGTTCCAGGTGGCCTTCTCCCCAGTCCTGCCTGCCTGAGTGCAGCTGCTCCCCTGGTCTTCTCTGTCTTCCTGGACTCATGACTCACACACAGCACTGCAGCTCCTTGGTTACCTGTCTGTCCCCCTGTATAGATGTGACCACCTTGAAGGAAGGTGACCTCAGGAGTTCTCCACTCCTCCAGAAGCGCTATCTTAAAAGTGGTGTTTTCATCCTCTCGGGTGATCCCGACTGAAGCCGCTAGCTTGGCATCAGCTTCATAAAAGCACTGCAGCTCTAGGAAGCCCACAGGTGTTTGTTGCCTTGAGTGAATGAAGCACCTTGTTTTTAACTCAGTCACATTGTTGTACCCAACTGCTTGATTCCCCTGAGCACTGAGCACTGCCTTGGAACAAACAGTATCACACCACATCACAAAGCCCTGGCGAGTCAGGGGTGAACAACTTGAACTCGCCACCCGATGGGATGTCCAGTCCATGAATACAGAGCTGCTATACCGTCACTATCAGAACTTCTTCTGAGCAATAACTGGAACTTCTCCCCCTTCCACCCACCATTTAATACTCAAGGGTAAGGGAAATAATCTTGTTCTTTTATGTGTCCAGTAGGCTGCTGGCACATAGAAGGCAGTCTGTAAATGTTTGCTGAATCAAGATACACTTTGGATAATTTTTTGATTAATGGCCGTCTGTGTCTCATGAACTGTAAAGCCCCTGTAGACAGGATCTGAAATCTGCTCAAGGACTGAATCTGTTTTGCTGGCCATGCAGAGAGGGCCTAGTAGTGCCAAATGGACACTGACGACCAAAGATCTGAATAAGACATCATTAAGCAGTGAAATCTTCCAAACACCCACCCCCTTCTCCTGTCTTATTCTCTCCCCAAAAGCTAGCAAGTATTTTCTTCCTGCGCATTAAGTTAAACAGTAGCCAAGCAGATAGCGCTTCATTTACTTACTTACAGGTTGACCTGGGACTCTCCATCAGGGTCTTTTGTTGGCCACGTCTGGAGGGGCTGGATGCCAAAGGAGAGAGACGACTTTGTTTTCCATCGCAGGGTTTGTGCCACCTGACTCCCACCGGGTCCCTTTGCCAGTGGATCCATCAGTGGGCCTGGAGGCTGGAGTGCTGTGCTGAAGCAGAAGGAGTTGGAAAAGGCACTGAGAACAAGGAAGAAGGGCAGGACACTAACTGGCCCACCCTGGTCCTCTCCCCCCGAGGCTGGCCCCTCAGTAAGTGTGGACGGAGATGCCAAGGCACCCCCAAGCCTCTGGGGCCCCAACACAACCCTACCACATGGAGCAAGGTCTATGAGCATCTCGACCCTGGAAACCAACCAAACACTATTGCCCTCCTCAGCCGTGAGTGAAGGGTCTAAAGTAAACTGGCTTTTCAATAGTCACAAATGTATCCAATAAGGCAGTGCTTTTTCTAGAACACTACTGAAGAAGAACTAGTGGCAGGTCCTCCTGGCCATCCAAGCCTCTGGGATGGCTTGGTTTCGCTCTGAATTTCCAACTGAAATACCCAAGAAGACTCACCGGACAGGTGCCGCAGCCACAACACGGCAGAGCCCTAAGCCCAAGTCTGGGGAGCACCTGGCTAGGCTCCGTAAGCACCTGTTGACTGAATCACGTAGCCGCATTTCCAAGACCTGTCTGCTCCTTTGTCGAGGACACAGTGAGGAAGGGGGCACAGCCAGCTCCGGCCAAGGGGGAAAGGCGGTCAGCCCTGCTCTCTGCTTGGAATCGTCCTCAGAGCCAACTAGCACCATTCTTCTCTCGCCTCTACCTCAACTGACAAGCAAACAAAATCCAATTCTTTGGCAATGGAAAAATAAAAATAAAAGGCAGTCTTAGGTAACGTTTTATAACTTTATAGATAATGCTCTATCGATGACATGAAGACAGTTCTTTATAATGTCTTTTAAAAAAGGACTGTGACAAGGCAGAAGCCTAGAGCCGAGTGACTCGGGGACAACTGTCAACAGGAGGCATCTGCGCAGGGAACCTCCAGCATGCTGCAGGGCGGATGCCAAGAGAAGTGACTCCAGGCAGCCTGGGTGTTTGGAGCCAGATGGGCACTGCCCACTCCCAAGCTGCTCTGGCAATGCCCGGCAGGCCCAAGCAGCAGGCATGTTGCAAAAGCAAAAGCAAAGAGAAAGGTTATGTAGCGGCCCCACCCCGACATCCCTACCAGGAAGGGCTCAGGCCTTCCTGCCAGGCCCCCTGATTCCTTCCTTGTAAGTGACAACCCAGCACTCCTGTCTTTCCGGGCATAAGAAGCCACAGGCTGTGGCCTGAGCCAGACTTCCAGGTCCCCTTCCCCTAGGTTGGCTTCAGGCCACTAATCTTGGCAGCTATTAGAAAGACATCAAAGGCTCCAGGTTTCCACATGCGCCCAAAGGCCAGAGGCCTCAGCTTAGTGTGTTAGCGGTTCTTTCTGCAGTGTCACTAGGCTTGAGGGTGGCCTAAGCAATAAGCACACAAATAAATAGCAAAGCTGAGCTTCTGGAAGATATATATATTCTGATTTTTAAATTTCAAAAATAATACTTGTAGACAAAAGCTTTTTTAAAGAAAGTGCATCAAAAAGAAACTAACAAAGGAGTAGAGGAAGCTGGACGGGGAGGGAAGAAGCCATTTCAGGCCGGCACCTGAAGGGACAGGCAAGTGGAGCGTCGGGGCTCCCTGGGGAGGTGGCCACTGGGATGTGTGGCTGCTGAGCACCTGAAATGCAGGCAGGTAAGGTGAGATGTGGACAGGTGAAATGCATACAGTTTGAATATCTGACACAATCAAAAGACTGAAAACACCTCATTAATCACTTTTATATTGATTATCTTTTGCAAGATAAAATGCATTACTGGAATTAATCCTCACGTGACAACTGACAACTAGAAAATGTAAAGTCACACAGAGCTCAGAGCCCGGAGGTCACTTTGTATTTTGGACAGCACTGCCCATGTTGACCAGCCCTCCCAGATGTGCCACCCAGAAGAGCTCAGGCCACAGGCTGGTGCGGGCAGACATAAACCCTACAGGGCAGGGCTCGGCCCGCCTAAGAACAGCCTCCCCGGAGCGTGTTGCAGCAAGAACACGCGGCAGAGGAGGCAGGGAGACAAAACCAGAAAAGGGGGACTCTAGGGGATCTGACCGTGCCACTCATGCCACGCCACCTCCCCCTTCTCCACAGATCAGCCTGGAGTGAGTCCAAGCACAAAGCGCAGCTTTCTCCGTGTGTCTGAGGCCGTGCTAATCCCCTCCCTCTCTGTCCTCACTTTCACTTACACACCCTGGTCAGCTTGGCTGGAAAATTCCTTGCACAGTAAGAAATGCTAAGAGAGGAAACACATCCTTGTTACTTTTATTACAGTATTTTGTTGTTGACTGTTTCATCATTTGTCATTATTGCTAATCTCTTACTGTGCCTAATTCATAAGTCAAACTTCATCATGGGGATGCATGTACATCCCCACAGTACACCACAGTACACCGAGGGGTCGGTGCCAGCCAAGGGTTGGCATCCACGGGGGTGGGTGAGGGTGAGGGGGGCGCTGGCACATTGGTGTGCGATGCGCAGTGCGCGTTCTCTACCTGCTGTTTCTCCATCCTTCAGTCCCGGCACACCCCGATGTATGATTTCACAGGATGAGAAGACCTGCTGTGCACTTACACTCTACATTTCAGTCTTTAAAATGCTAGGACTGCTTGCCTTGGTCTATTGGTTTCTAGCTCTTTCATCTTTAAGGTTTTGTGCAAAAATTTTAAATGCTAGTCCTTTTAAGTCTTTCCCCATTTTCTTTTCTTTTTCTTTTTGGCCACAACTTTTACTTTCAGCTTCCTATGTTCTTTTTTATACTTTCATCTAATCCTTTAATTTCATTTGCTAACTGTTCAGGTTCTGTCTCATCACTGTTAATTTTAATCTTTTTACTCATTTCTGTTATCTTTTCTCATCTTAGCTTTCTAATTTTAAAAAAATGTACCACTTAATCTTCTGACATTTTCTCTCTCTTGTCTCACTATTTAAAATATTTAGCAGTTGAGGAGCTTCTTGGAAAGACGACAGAGTAAGAGCTCATTTACATAACTCACTGGCACCCAGGAAATAGTCAAAATGGCCCAAGAAGAAAATGTGCTGAGACGGGAGTATGTCCAAACCCCATGTGTACCTGGGAGGGGACCACGATCCGTGGGAGGGGTGAGGCTGGGCGCACAGGCAGGCCGCAGCGGCTCTTTCTCTCACCCTCTCAGCTTTCTGAATAAGGGCAGGCAGCCTGACCTGGGCAAAGGTTGACTGGAAAGTAGATTTTAGGAGCCCCTGAATCAAAAGTACATGTGAGCCCACCAAAAGGCCCAGGAGGAAACCATGGGCCTCTCTAGAAGGCCGTGTTTGCCCTAACTCGGGAGAAAGGTCTTGGCTGATGACCATGGGAGGCTGATGGCCATGGGAGGCAGGGGTGTGCGCAGGGGGACCTGGACCCGCAGCTCCAGCAGGGCCCAGTGGCTGTAGTGACCACTGTCAGACCTGCAGGGCCCATCAGTGCGGCAAAGAGTAGAGCAGGGGAGCATTGCTGTGGCACAAGTGCCCCCCATGCCAACAGATAGAACTGACACAAGCTGTGCAACCTCTGTCGACAGACTTGGTACGGATGGAGGGGAAATGTTCTGAAAAATCAGACTTTCCACGCTAACTTATGTTATGACCTCTCTTTTTTGTATAATTGTAATATCAAAATATTCTGAGCAACCTTCAGTTTACAACTGCATTGCCTCAGTCTCATAAGGCGCTACCTGGCCCAGACAAGCAACCACTGCACCAGGGTGAGAAATTCCTCTTGAAGTCAAAAGTGATTTGACGACTGGCTGGTTAATAAAAGTAATTGGCTGTTATTGTAAAGTCAATATTAAGGCAGTACTGGAACATATTCTTTTACTGCCTGGATGGACGAGAACCCAAATCTCATCACTCTACTATCCCACACAGATTTCTTCAGTTTCTAAAAAACTACTTAAACTTTCTACTATCTTGTCTTTAGATATGGAAGTTCACCCAAGTCGCCTATTCAGAGCTAATCAGGTTTTCTACCGTCTAGACTTCAAGGAAATTCACTTAAACTTTCTAACAAGTTTTTAAAGAACTTTACTGTAATTTGATTTACAAGAGATTTCCTCTTCCTGCCCTCACTTTACTTTACCCCCTAGGATGTCTCAGTGAGAATGAAAGCCATGAAGTAGTAGATAAGGTTTAATGGACTTTATTTTGGTTAATCTTCACTGTGGTAAATATAGTAATATTAGTCTTAAATTTTGTAAATCTGTTTTAGCCTTGATAGATTGATTTTAAAAATAATGTTGTAATCTCAACTAAAGGTCAATATGACCCCAGACTGTTCTTAGAAAAAAGATGATAGTGATCTCTCAGCCCAATTCAGATGCTAATTCATGTCATCCCACTGCTTGCTTGAAATGTATAAAATAAACCTCTGCTGAAGCAGAGCAAGAAAACTTGCACCCAACTCCATTTCCTGTGTCTTCCTCGCGCCTGCTCCCCTTTTCCCCCTCTTCCCCCTTTTCTAGGAATCTCCGCTGACCGATGCTGCTCCCACCTTGAGACCCTGCCTGTTTTGCCCCCCAATAGTCCGTGATCAGGGACAAAGAGTCTCTGACACAGACCCCTGAATGCAGCAAAATGGCATAAGGGGCGACAAGGTCTGGGATCTCGCCCTTCAAGGTGACCTGTAACTCCCTGAGTCTAGGCCACCTGGATCTCCGAATCCCTAACCTACTTTGTGAGGGACGCCCACTCACTCCTTGACCTTCTGCGGTTTGGGCTTTATTCTGCTCTGATCCTTTACAGGAAAACCACCCTAAACCCATCCTCAAGCCAAGACGAGCTGTGAAGTCTGAGCTGGCTGCACAGCCAAGTGAGCAGGAGCCCAGCAAACTCTCTGCGCCCTCGAAGCTGTCCTTCCCCACAGCTCCCCTCCGTGACCTTCCTGGGAGCACCCAGCAGTCTGCAGCCCCTGCTCGCAGGAGGGCTGCCTCCGCCCTTCCTTTCACCTTCTTCCCTCCTGCTCTCCCTCCTTCCAGGGACATTTGGCTCCAGGACCACAGCCCCTCCCCCG